AATTAATATCGTTTGTCAATCTTTTGCAGGTTATTTAAAGCCAACAATTGTCTTTAAATTTTAAGAATCATAGTTACAGATAAGAATGATTTATTGCTACAAATCCAAATTAGTCCTTAGCTAGAAGAGGTGAATTCATAACTTTTCCCAGCAATTATTTTGCGCGTTAGAGAATATCACGAAATCGAATGGAATTGGAATACGGCTATCCTACTTCCAATTTCGGGCGTTCATCCATCAATATCATCCATATAGACAAGCTTACTGCTCCTTGCATTCCCAAGCGCTCACCTATCTATATATTAACCAGACTCTACGCTGCTTAACTTTGATAATAGCCTCGGTATATTGTATGAGTTACTATATTTTTAATGCCTGGCCATTTACAATCATTTAATTCTTCACTGTCATTACGTTTCTCTATTAAAACAATAAAACTCATTTTTATGATGCATACGGTTATTCTATTCAGTCAGCAACGCCTGCATTCATTCAAGAGAGAAAACTAATTATCTTGATACTTAGTATTTTATTCCCAGGTAGATCAGGCCGAAAATTGAGTACAGCTGCCATGTATGGACTAGAGTTACCCAGTCATCCTTTTCCAGTTTCGATAGAGTCTAAAAGCTCTTTGTAACGAATGCACGGCCGCAATTTTCGACGGATTTGCACCAAAATTTACCTGCACATGCTCCAAGTTAACGGGAAGGCCAAGACCGACTTTGCATTTCCCAACTCCCATCGATAGTGGAAATAATCAATTTTTTCATGCTTCTACGGCAGTTTTCATGTAGTTTGCGGACATTTTGTACTGCCCAGAGTGAGAGCCTATAGCTGGCTGTTTACGAATAGGCAGGAAGATTCTATTGGCCAGCGTGAGAGCCAACAGCTGACTGACACGAATGTTAACTAGCATGCTAGCATGCAAAAAAATCGATAGATGCATTCGTCACAAGTGGGAACAATTTAAATCTGCATGGCACTTTACTCCAATTGGCTCATTCGCTTGCTTAAACTCAACGTTGATTCTGATTCCGCAGAACTGGGTTGGGTGTGAAAAAGTATTTGTTGTTAACATTCTTTTTTCATTCGGTTTTTCCAGTTACGAGTCCTTTTTTAAAGCTGATCGTTTTGTGTTTATTTTGTTTAGTTCTTTTTTCGTAACGGATTTAATGTTTAGTATAGAGCTTAGAAAAAATTCGCAGTGTGAGATAGGCAAGAAGTAAGGCATGTAGCAACATCAGCACGGCAAAGGGCACTCCTTTAAAGGCAAGGAAGGGCAAAAATATTTGAAGTCAAGTGCTAGTGATTGCTGCATGAGTCGTATTTTTTTTTAATCAAGCAGGGGCAACGCCGGGCCATGCTGCTAGTACAGCATTAAAACAATGTACCACTTTCCAACTAATCGTACATCTTCCGTTTATCTACAGCCTCAGTGACCGTTAGAAAATTATTAAACTTATATTACACACGACGACAGCTGTTACTGCCTTGTGAATTAATCTGGTCAAATTCAAATGCTTGATCGTAATTTCTTCCGCTAGCACCACTTCAGAGCTTGTAAAACTCTGACAACATTCTGATAATATATATTTAGTAAGCAAATCGATAAATCAGATAGTTGAAATATATGTAATGGGATAGATAATGAGGAAAAAGGGCTTGGAGAATTTAACACCCTTAGGACATGTTGAAGTCAAATGTGGAAGAGGGAAATAACCAGTAACCTACTATTAAAAAATAATTACCCCCGCCCCCCACCAATGAAGGTGATAATGCCACTAAAACGCTAGGGTGTTCACTCAGAGTGAAAGGAAATGAAAAAAATGTTAGTGGTTAGAAAGTACAGTAAAAGAATAGAATTTAAGAAAACAGAAAATGGCGACTGGTGTTGCATTTAAATTTTTGAAGATCGTAGTTGAACCGGAAGCAAGAAACCGGAAGAGAATTTCACGGGCGGGAAAATAAAACTATAAGGATATTTTTTTTTCTGCTTGTTTTTTAATCGGTTTCACTCAAATCAAGGCAGTAGTGCCACTAAAACACAAGGGGTGCGAAAGAATTATGAACAGAAACAATAATGGTGTTGATCGGGCAGCGGAGAGAGTAATCAGGAGGACAGTAGATAGCGACTGACATTGCAATTTTAGTAGATTAATGTTGGATGGAAAACATGGAGACGGAAGGGAGTTCCACAAGCGATAAGAGCGAGTGAAGAAACTGTTAGCATAGAATTTATGGCTACATCTAACCAGCTTAACTGTAAATTGATGAGATCTCAAAGCCAGTCTAGCACTGCGCTTAAATTCAAAAAGTCTAGGTACCATAGCAAAGTGCTCATCCATGTATTTATAGAAAAGGCATAGAAAGGCAACCTTACGGCTTTAGGAAAGTGACTGAAGTTGAGCGGCTAGATCAGGACCGATAATATTGCTGATTCTTCTTTGGATCACATGAAGGAACTGAAGGTATTTCAACAGCAAAAAGATGAGACCTACTTGGCAATCAGGTAGTACGCTTAAATTCATGCAGTCAAGATACCAATGAGAAGATGTCATTAAAAACAATTGCCATTGCAGTATTTATAGAAATGATACAGAGAGGCCATGTTACGACTCTGGGGGAATGACTGAAGGTGAGATGTCAGGTCAGGCCAGGACCTAAGGAGTATTTAAATGAATGACAGAAGAGGTAGTGAGAGGAAAGGTAAAGGGAGAAACAATTCTTAGAGCTACAATGAGGTTTGGTCATCCACCTCCTGAAGTGATACGGTATATAAAAGAAAAACGCAAAGAATAAACGATGTTTTTTTTTAAAGAAATTTACCCAAAGCAATAATGTTATTAAGACCACTGGAAGTGAAAGAGAAAAAAAGGTTTTAGCAGGAACCAGGAAACAAACCCTAAAAAAGAAACAATGGATAAACCTCTATTACTGTTCAATAGACGAAGAGGTGGTGTGAACAGGGTGATACGTAAATATGTTCATTGAGGAAAAATAGCAAATATAATTTTAGAGTTTAGGCGGAAACGCTAGAAGTTGAAGTAGACTTTTTTTAAGCATTCCACCCCAAGCAAGGCGGGAAGCCACTAGCACACAAGGGGTTATAGATTTGGAGCGAGAACAAAGAGGAGTGGTAGAGGAAAGGATGAAGAGACGGTTATGGGATAGATCAAGGCATCTGGAGACGTCAATTGACGTTACATTTGAATAGTTGGAGATTATAGCTATCAGAGAAACAGGAAAAGGGAAGGGAGTTCCACAGGCGAGAAGTGCGAGACATGAAGCTATTGGAGTAGAAGAGACGGCTACATTTAACAATTTCGACAGTGAAAGGGTGAGAGTGAGATGCCAGCCTAGTAGAACGCTTAAAGTAAATTAAAGAGACGGTTAGGGGATAGATCAGGGCATCTAGAGATGTCGATTGACGTTACATTTGAATAGTTTTTTTTTAAATAAAACGGACGTTACAGTTGAATAGTTTAAAAAAAACGGACGTTAAATTTGAATAGTTTGTTTTTTGTTAAAAAAAAAGAAAAAAAGAAAAAAAAGAGAAACACAATTTTAAACAGGAAGCAAGGAATAAACCTCTACTCCTGTCCAAAAGACTTGAGAGGAGTGTGAACCGGACGATGGACGAAACTATCTACACCTAGTGAGAAAAATAAATAGCAAGCAATATTTCAGATTTTAGGCGGAGACCTCATAATTATAGAGCTTATGTAGATTTTAGAAGTAACCGGAAACCCAATACTAAACTGGAAAAAAAGAGATAAACTCGTCTCGTCTACAGGCACTCTCTCACAGACGTGCCGTCGCTTCTCTCTGTCTTTTTTTACAAATACTTTCATGGTAATTGCTCCGATGAGCTGCTTTCACTGGTTCCCAGACTGCATGAATTCAAGCGCCTTACGAGGCTGGCATCCCGCTCCCACCCTTACACTGTAGAAACTTTTAAATGTAGCCGTCTCTTCTACTCCAATAGCTTCATACCTCGCACTTCTCACCTGTGGAACACCCTTCCCAATTACTGTTTCCCCTGAGAGCTATAATCTCCAACTGTTCAAATGTAATGTCAATCGACATCTACAGTTACCTTGATCTATCCACTATCCTTTTCCTCATCCTTTCTTCTATCACTCTTATCTGCTCTTGCTCCAAATCTTCTGCAACCCCCCCTGCATCCTAGTGGCTTCACGCCTTGTTCGGGGCGTAATGCTTAAAAAAAACAAAAAAAAACTCCTGTTCAAAAAACCTGGGAGAAATATGGACCCTACAGTAGGCGAAACAGTCTAAACATATTGAAGTAAAAAAATATTAAACAAAATTTCAGTGTTTAGGCGGAGACGATAAAAGTAAAGAGTTGAAGTTTATTTTGGAATCCTAAATCGGAAACAATTGAAAAAAACTCTATTCCTGTTTAAAGGACAGGCAACGAGTTTAAACCAGACTATAGGCGAACTCATTTATTCCCATGATGACGTGATAGATGATATTAGTCCAACATTTGCTGGCCTATAGTTCGAGATTTAATGATAAAACCTATTTTAGGTGTGTGTAAAAACAAATTATAAGGGGTAGGCTGTTTTTCAAACACGGGCTGTAATTTTCAATTTAAGATGAAAGAACACAAAAGGGAGACAACTAAACAATATTTGTAAGTCTTAGGAAATAATGGAGTAAACATTTCTTTTCAGATGATTTAATAATCAAATGAAAATTTCGCATCTGGAGGTGACAGACTTATTAAGAGTTCGACATTTAATATAACAAGAGAATAACAGAAATAGCGTCATTATTTCTTCGCTAAATCTGATTCTTACATTCCAAGAGATAAAGATGTTCAATACATATAGAGGGCATGCAGAAACAAGTTGCCAATCTATCTATCTATCTATCTAGCTAGCTAGCTAGCTAGCTAGCTATTGCAATGTATAAATTATTTATCTGTTTATGAAGTAGAGAGAAAGATATATAAAAAAACAGAGATAGACACATACTTAGATATGAGAAATGAGCAAGCTACCCAGCTGTCTATCTAGACAGGTAGAAACATCGCTAAAAAGATAGATATAAAGAGACTTTGATAGATAGATAGATAGATAGATAGATAGATAGATAGATACATAGATAGATAGATAGATAGATAGATAGATAGATAGATAGGGCACCTCGAGGCGGCGTAATGGTTAGCAAGCTTGGTTAGCTAGAACAATTATTACTGAGTAGTGAGTTAGATCCTCAATGGGTGCCCCCTAATTTCGGCCTTGTGCCACATCTAAGCTACGCTTGGAATATCACTCGATAGATAGATAGATAGATAGATAGATAGATACTGAACAGACTCACATAGTTAAGTAATGGACAGAATTATATATATATATATATATATATATATATATATATATATATAGATAATATTAGTGGAAAATATACATACATATGAAAAATATATCTAAAAAATTCCCATACATGTATATATATATATATATATATATATAGAGAGAGAGAGAGAGAGAGAGACAGGGACGAATATAGACATAGCGAAGTATATGAACAGACTGAGGTAGATTCATAGCAATCGTTAGGTGCAATGGTTCTATTATTACTATCAGAACTAGGAGTGAATTATTTTATATTTATCTATCTATCTATCTATTGCAATGTATAAATTATTTATCTGTTTATGAAGTAAAAGAAAGAAAAGAAAAAAACAGAGATAGACACATACTTTGATATGAGAAATGAGCAATCTACCCAGCTGTCTATGCAGACAGGTAGAAACATAGCTAAGAAGATAGATATAAAGAGACTTTGATAGATAGATAGATAGATAGATAGATAGATAGATAGATAGATAGATAGATAATGAATAGCTTGAAATAGATAATTAAGTTGTTATATATATATATATATATATATATATATATATATATATATATATATAGAGAGAGAGAGAGAGAGAGAGAGACAGGGACGAATATAGACATAGCGAAGTATATGAACAGACTTAGGTAGGTAGATTCATAGCAATCGTTAGGTTTTATTATTACTATCAGAACTCCTGGCGAATTATTATATCTATCTATCTATCTATCTATCTATCTATCTATCTATCTATCTATCTATTGTAATGTATAAATTATTTATCTGTTTATTCAGTGGAGAGAAAGATATATTAGGTTGGTGCAAAAATAATGACGTAATAATTTCGTTTTTGACGTTAAAAATACGTCAAAAAACGACATTATTACGTCATTATTTTTGCACCAACCTAATATAAGAACAGAGATAGACACAGACGTAGATATGACAAATGAGCAAGCTATTCAGCTGTCTATGTAAACAGATGGATAGATAGATAGATAGATAGATAGATAGATAGATAGATAGATAGATAGATAGAATATTCATCCAAGTTAATTATTCTTCAAAATTCTCCTTCAATTCTCCTGCAAACGTGGTTATAGCCCAATTTACCAGACAGGTTAGAACAGCACCAAAGTAATGTCTTCATTTATTAATCTAGGTACCTCCATTAATTCTCGATGCCTAAATGAATTTTTTAAAATGAAAAGGCCTTCTTGGACCTTTTTTTTTTTTTTTTGTTTTAATTGAAAGTTAAATGACTAAATTCACTGTTTGTAGTAAGCAAAATACACTGGTGTATTTCAAATAGAATTTATATTGATTGGAATCTCAACTTTTTGGTTGTTTCAGTAAAATCATTAACACTGGCATTTTTTTTTTTTTTTGCATATTTTGGGACATTTGTAAACAAACGTTAATTCTCGGTTTTAAAAATCTTCCAAGAATAAATATACTTTTCTGAAACTTTATTTGTGGAATATTAGCTGAGTTAATGCATATTTGATCTGATTTGAAAAACATATTATTTACATTAATTTTAAAATAACAGAGAAATGGATGTTTTAGAACAAAGAGCAGCGGTAATTACGCACTTATCACCGCTCATATATCACTTAATAAGTGTCAACATCTTTATTATTGTTCGACGTAAACTTTATATGTTGAAACATAATTTAGGAAAATGACGGGTGAGAGCCATTTTTTATATATATTTTTAAATTCTTAGTAATCTTAAATATATTGGAAAATATTCTGCGTAATCTAATTTTAGGAATGTCGACTTTAATTTTTTATAGTCATCTCTCTTATTTTTTGATAATGTCCTGTATGGTCTACCATCCTTTCCAAAAGGGAAACCTTACGTAATATTTTATATTCATATATTTTTTTTTAATTTTAAATACCTTGAAGCAAAATATTTTCTATTAAGCTTTTTTTTCAATTTTTGTTAGTAAATATAGTTTTCTCTTAATAATAATATCACATAAGGGGATGAAAGTAATGTTGAATTTTTAAAGATTTACATACTATAAATTATGATAATTAAAATTTTAAAAAAGTGAAAACTATTCTCGTAAAAATTAATTCAATTTGTTTCTTAAGTCAATAATGTCCTTAGTAAATCTTATTTATAAAAGCAATTAAAAGCTTTTTTTAATTAAATAATATCATAGTTGTATTGCATTTTTATTTTATTTTACGATTAGGAACAGATTTTCGGGAAATTTGAAAATAAAAAAATTGTATGAAAAAAAGGAAATTGTATATTTACATTCTTCAAGGAGACCTACTTGAAACAAATTAAAAAAATCAGATGAAAATTTAATTTCTCGAAATTTCATGAAATTAAGTTGTTGGCAAAATCTTTTTACCAAGATTTTCTGAAAAAAAACATTCAAAAATAATTTTACTCATTTGTGTTTTGAAAATTTCATTAAAACAGACAATTGTTGGATTTTTGCAAGAATTTCAAAATCAATGTGTTTTCAACGGAAAAAAGCGAAAAACGGTAATTATAAATATTACGTCAACCGCTGATGAAAAAAAAAAACAAGATATTTGACCAAAATTTAACACGTGCTAAAAAGAATTTAAAAATTTAATAAAATATTTAAAAAATACTTTGATCTTTCCTTTTAATAAAAATATAAACATTTTGACGATAAAACTTTGTTTTTATTAATTGGGGGGGGCTTTTTCCATCATACTGTTCTGTTTTTCAGCGAAAAAGTTGAGGTACTAAAATTTATCCAATAGAAAACTTTTGGTATATCGTTATAAAAAGGCAAATAAATGAAAATATACATCATTGATCAAGAAAATTTAACTTTCCTCGTTAGAACGTTTCGGCCGTTGTGACCCCCGGCCTTCATCAGGTGTATGTGAACCGGAGGTAGATTGTTCTCATTCCACTACATCTAAGGTTATCATGTCACGTTCTTATTTTACTTGTGCTCTGTTATTGCTCGCCCCGTTTTCACTGAATCCGAATACACACTGGCCGGTCTAGAAATTTAAAACACAGACACAATTTCACCATATTCAAGAATGAACGCTTTAATCCACTAGGCTACTGGAGAAACTGGAACCTTAAACCTAACCTTACGGCTGATGATTGCAACTATGCTTGACAGCACTCACCGTAACCTTCTCTTTTATTGTTACAACTGCTTTGCTGCTTTTGAATACATGCAATCATTTGTCAATTTTCCTTTATTAGCGACTTTCATATCCTATTTATTTCTATGCTAGGCCTACTAAAGGGATCCTCATAGCTTAGTATATGCGCAGATTCATTCAGACGTCTAACACTCCAGTGTCCAGTATTTTCAGTTCGTTCGGCAGGAGATGGTGACGAGTCTTTTCCTTCCATACATCATCAGCCATGTCCGATTTTATAAGCTCACCTGTCACTTTGACTTTCTTTTCGACGTTTCTCCAGCCTTGCTTTTAAGGAGAGGCTTGTTTCATCTTTTTTTTTATTCTTATTTTTTGCTACAACCAAAGGGGGTCGAGTAGACGCAGTTCCTTGTCATATTCTTCCCTGTATTAGGCTTTAATCCGTAGATATTTCTCTGTAGCGTGAAGATGCTCCTGAATATTATCATTATGTTGCACGGACCGCGGATCTTCTGTAACTTTTACGATAAGCTCTTGACGTAGAACGTAGCCAATAAGCCCTGGACAAAACGTACTCCACCTCCATGAAACTCCTGTCTCCACCTGGAAAGGTAGATGTTATGTTTTCAGGGTAGGTGTTGGTCTGAAGGCTACGATTTTTGCTAATCATTTCCCTTTGTTTTATGTCTGTGTCATCACTTACGTGTTTTACATGGCGTTGCAGGCCATCGGACTATCCCTTCGTTGTATGGATGGTTGGAACTGTCGTTGAAATATTGCCTAGTGATGGTTAGTTTTTTTTTTTACGGAAGTCATGAGAATATTCTCCGTGTGGGTTATTAATATATACAGGAATGTTAGCTAGTTATTTATTTTTCTTCCATTGTGAAAATGGATCAAACGTCTTATTGACTTCACATGGTTCAACAGTGTTTCAACAGCTTCTTGTGAAGGCCAGAGTACGACAGTTTCATTTACATAACTAAGCCATGTTCTTATGTTCAGTATAGTCTTTCCTAAAGCCAATTTCCTCGAAGTATTCCATCTACATGTTCACCATCACTGGTGAGAACGGTGAACCCATGACCAAGCCTCCCTCCTGCTTTTACATATAAAACTCTCGGGGCACCTCGGAGTAGTGTAATGGTTAGCAAGCTTGTCTCGCTAGAACAATTACGACTCTGCAGTGAGTTCGATCTTCACTGGCCGCCCATATTTTCGGCCTTGTGCCACATCTAAGCTACGCTTGGAAAATCACTATATATCAGACTCTCATTGGAAGAATGCTGTCTGTAAAGAGAATGTCAACATTTCCATCAGATTATCTATTGGAATGTTAATAAGTTATCCAAGGGAAGGGTCGGGTTTCAATCGTTTTCGAGTCATGAACAGGATCAGCATATCTGTCAGGGATCCTTACCTATAACTACAGAATGAACTCTTCCTAACACTATGTATACTACGCCTCTCAAGAGAGAGGGTCGAATCGAGCCGAGCTTCTCGGCTTGGCGGTCGAACTCTCTGCCTCTGAGCAGAGAGGAACCTGGACGAGGCTCCGCCGAAGGGCAGAGCCTCGTTCGGGGAGGTTGACCAACCCGATCCTGTTTATACGGGTTCTACGGGCATTTTTTGGCCGAGCCTACGGGCTCGGGAAACCCACGTTAAACTCTGCCTTGTGCCACACGCAACCCTCGTGTGGGAGTGGCTAGATACAGAATCGAGCCGAGCTTCTCGGCTTGACGGTCAAACTGTCTGCCTCTGAGCAGAGAAGAAGCCGGACGACGCTCCGCTGAAGGGTAAAGCCTCGTTCGGGGAGGTTGACCAACCCGATTCTGTTTTTACAGTTTCTACGGGCATTTTTTTGCCGAGCCTACGGGCTCGGAAAACCCGCGTAAAACTCGGCCTTGTGCCACATCTTTCCCTCTCAAGTAAATATCGAATCGAGTCGAGCCGATAGTAGTTCACTCGAAACCAGATTGGGTTCGTGTTGTTCTTCCTTGTATTGTTCTCATCTCTGTAATAACTCTGATGAACAGGATCAACATATCTGCCATGGGTCCTTACCTATAACTACAGAATGAACTCTTCCTAACACTATGTATACTACGCCTCTCAAGAGAGAGGGTCGAATCGAGTCGAGCCGATAGTAGTTCACTCCAAACCAGACTGACAGTCATACTAACACCTTCCACATCTTGTATTATTATTTCGTGTAATATACCTTCGTTATTTCTACTCTTGCGTTCTTGTTGTTATTCCTTGGTCCTAACCTAGACCATAACAATATCCAAGCTTACAATATGATTTCTGCGGATGGGAGTCTTTCGGATTAATTCGACAAAGTATTTGGCGTTAATAACATATGACAAAGAGTTGCTTCTAAGGGTTGACTATATCTCCAAGGAATGTGTTCAGCAGTGGCATGCCGAGCCTCTGCAGTTGACTACCGGTCTTAAATTATGTGGTAGCCCGATGTAACGTTAAGTCAGCTGTCTTACTTTATTCAGTGTGAAGCTGTCAGTGGCGGATTCTGTTGCAATTTCCTGGACTTCTCCCGTTCTAGTTCCATTCTTAGACTATACTTACTTCTTCCTTCTTGAAGATCCCCAAGGTCCTTGCAGATGAGCTAAGTTAGTAAATGGGACAAGCACGAGAAAAGGTCAAGACATCTAAATCAAACATCGAAAAAGGTTTGCAATCAAGACCTTACAGACTGATTATCATGCTGCCATCTGACAAAGGCAACGCTTCGTTCGTGATGGAAAATTTGCCAGCCCTGCTGGAGAAGGTAGCCATAGGAAGATGAAAAAAATGATCCGACCCTAAAAAACAAATAGGGGCTTTCACAACTCCTAAATAAAAACAAAAACAACTTTAATTTATAAAAAGGCATGGAAATGATGCTTAAATATAAATATAACCTGCAAAATCTATCAGAAAGGTTCTTACCAATGTCGATTGCTTTATTGATTTGATTCCTTACAGTGTATCAACCATTTTCAGGTTAACTAAAGCCAGAATATATATTTGCATTGTAAATTTATTTTTGAGATAATAATTTAATGATACAAGTTCTACTAATTAACCCATAGCTGGAGGTGAAGATGTGGATTCATAGCTTTTAAAAGCCATTTTCGCATATGTGGAGATAACGAACAGGACCGGAATTGGAACTCGGCTTTACGATTACTAAATTGCGGAGCGTCATCCAATATACCAACTGCACCAGCAGGCTTTCAGCAACTGGTATTCCAAAACGGTCACCCATCTAAGTACTGACGAGGCACGATGTTGCTTTACTTTGGTGATCGTACCAGAACCGGTGTTTCGGTGCGATATGGCCACAAGCACCCATATTGATTGGTTCATACTATTCTAAGTTTGAAAACATTAACTTGTATAAAAATCTATCTACATAGATGCCTAGCTAGCTATCAATCTGTTGGTAATCGTTTTTGGTTTGGTTTGTTTGGACTGGTTTATGTTGTTTTGAGGCGTATCATCCTCAAATGATTATTTAATGCGGACAACAATTTTTAGGATAGGTTCGTATGAATAGAATATTTTTTTGTAAGAAATCAGTTTGTAGATCGGGTTTCATTGATGATTTTGCAGAGTTTATTTTATTTATTTATTTATTTATTTTTGTCGAGAGTCTCGTTTTATTGATGTACTCTCTTCAAATATACAGTTTTATTGGCTGTGTCATTTGATTTATACGTTTAGGGTTTGGATTTATTTTGATTTACGGCATATCAACACCTCAATGGGTTATTTAATGCCGACGAGATTTTTAGGATATGAAGGTGGCGTATTATTCTCAACGCCAAATAAAAAATATCTGTGTGTTGAGAATAGACAGATAGAAGGAAAATGAAGAAAATATGTATTATTTGTAAGAAATCAGTTTGTAGATTAGATTTCATTGATGTATTTTTGTAATGAGGATTTTTTTTTTGTCGAGTGTCGAATGTATTGCTGGTAACAGTTTTTTTGTTTTTTTGTTTTTC